TAAGATTCATCCAGCTGTGCAGTGGTGGTCATGTTGTTTGTGATTCTGTGGAGTGGGTGCCGGTGCTCTTCACGTTCCCTCCCATGGTGGTGATAGAGTTCACATAGCCCTCTCGTGGTGGTGATGTTCACATAGCTGTGATGGTGTGGTGGTGATGGTGTTCACGTAGCTGTGATAGTGTGGTGCTGATGATGTTCACATAGCTGTGATGGTGTGGTGGTGATGGTGTTCACGTAGCTGTGATGGTGTGGTGGTGATGGTGTTCACATAGCTGTGATGGTGTGGTGGTGATGGTGTTCACATAGCTGTGATGGTGTGGTGCTGATGATGTTCACATAGCTGTGATGGTGTGGTGGTGATGGTGTTCACATAGCTGTGATGGTGTGGTGCTGATGGTGTTCACATAGCTGTGATGGTGTGGTGCTGATGGTGTTCACATAGCTGTGATGGTGTGGTGCTGATGGTGTTCACATAGCTGTGATGGTGTGGTGCTGATGGTGTTCACATAGCTGTGATGGTGTGGTGCTGATGGTGTTCACGTAGCTGTGATGGTGTGGTGCTGATGGTGTTCACATAGCTGTGATGGTGTGGTTGCTGATGGTGTTCACATAGCTGTGATGGTGTGGTGCTGATGGTGTTCACATAGCTGTGATGGTGTGGTGCTTATGGTGTTCACATAGCTGTGATGGTGTGGTGCTGATGGTGTTCACATAGCTGTGATGGTATGGTGCTGATGGTGTTCACATAGCTGTGATGGTGTGGTGCTGATGGTGTTCACGTAGCTGTGATGGTGTGGTGCTGATGGTGTTCACATAGCTGTGATGGTGTGGTGCTGATGGTGTTCACATAGCTGTGATGGTGTGGTGCTGATGGTGTTCACATAGCTGTGATGGTGTGGTGCTGATGGTGTTCACATAGCTGTGATGGTGTGGTGCTGATGGTGTTCACGTAGCTGTGATGGTGTGGTGCTGATGGTGTTCACATAGCTGTGATGGTGTGGTGCTGATGGTGTTCACATAGCTGTGATGGTGTGGTGCTGATGGTGTTCACATAGCTGTGATGGTGTGGTGCTGATGGTGTTCACGTAGCTGTGATGGTGTGGTTCTGATGGTGTTCACATAGCTGAGATATTGCGATGGTGATGGTATTTGCATAGCTGTGATAATGTAGTGTTGATGGTGTTCATATAATTGAGATATTGCGGTGGTGATGGTGTTCACATAAGTGCAATTGATGTTGGTGATGATATTCGAAGGGCGCCATGATATATTTTGTTGTATTTGCAAAACACTGCTGTGTTGGTTGAGGTAGTTACATAACTCTGGGGTCATACTTGTGGTCATATTTTCAAAATCATTTTATTGGCTCTCTATCTGCAGGTCTGTGATATTGGTTATGGTGTCACAATGCCCTGTTATGGCGGTAGTGTAAGCATACAGATAATCTGCCACTGGATAGTTGAAGTGTTATGACTTTATGACATTATTTCTGCTGTTTTTTCCCTAAGCCCGTGAAGCTGATGATGATATTCACATACCACCATGATGGTGGTAGAGGTTGTATGCAAATAACTATGTGATGGAGGTTGTGTATTCATGCAACCCTGAAATGTTGGAGGTTGTGTTCACAGATGCTGGGAAGTTACCATGGTATTCCTATAACCCTGTGGTGTTACTGTGTCATGGTTCTGGTATTACTGTGTGACATTAGTTGTGATATTCACCTATCTTGTGACAGTGGTGATGGTGTAACTCAGATAATGCTATGACTTGGTCATGTTACTGGCGTACCTCAGAGGTATTACAAGTTTGGTTCCAGATCACTGCAATAAAGCAAATATTGCAGTAAAGTGAGTCTCATAATTTTTTGGTTTCCCAGTGTATATAAAAGTTACTGTAGTCTATTAAGTGTGCAATAGCAGGATATCTAAAAAAAACAATGTTACAACCTTAATTAAAAAAAAAACAACTTTATTGCCAAAATTGCTAGCCCTCATCCAAACCTTCAGAGAATCTTAATCTTTTTGCTGGTGGAGGGTCTTGACTCAGTGTTAATGAAAAGACCATTCTGTGAGGTGCGATAAAGCATAGCACCATAAAATGAGGTGTGCCTGCATTTACACAATTCTACGATAATGGTGGCATTGACAGTGACATGTCTCTTTGAGGTAATGGTGGTGGTATTCCTCTAAATTTGCGACTTTGGTCAGAATAGTCACAGAAGTCTGCCTTGTTAGGGGTTACGGTATTCACAAAACTCTGCAATGGAGTTGGAATTATTTGCATAACTATGATGGCAATCATGTTGCTAACATATCTTTGTGACATTGGTGGTGGTGTTTTTCTAGTCTGCCAGGATGGTTGTGGTGTTCAAACAACTCCACATGGTGGTTGTACTGGTCTTCCCATAACTGATGATGTTGAATGTACAAATCATACATATAACTCTGAAAAGTTTATCATGATGGTCACATCCCTCAGTGTGGGTGGTAGTGGTATTCACATAACTTATCAATACTGGTATATTCTCCACATAACTTTGCAGAGGTGATCATGGTGTTTACAACTGTGAGGTTGTTGGTCTTAGTTACATAACTGCAATGTTGGTGGTATTCATGTGCCTCTTCAGTAGCATTAATCACACTCTCATACATGTGAGGTGGTATTGGTGGTCTATTCTAATGCCTCTGGGATGCTGGTTGTGGTGGTATTCACAGAATTCTCTGATGGTCGTGATCCTTATATGTACATAACTCTGCCAGGGTGGACACATAAAACAAGGCAATTCTCTTTGTCCTTTGTATGTAACTCTGTTATGATCATCTTGGTTTTTGCAGAACTCTGTGATGTTGAAAGATTTGGTGTTCACATGGCTCTGCAACTTTGGTCATGATAGTCACAAAACTACAAGGTTATATGTGGCATTCACGTAATTTTGTGATGATCATGGTGGTATTAATATCACTCTGTGATGTTAGTGATCATGGTACTCAAATATCACTGTTGTGTTGCAAGTAGTGATCATATACCTGTGACTGTGTTCCTGGTATTCAAATGACTGATGATGGCATTCAGTAACTATAACCTGAGTCATAGTGTTCACTAGCTCTTTGATGGTGGTCACAGTACTCAAAAAAATCTGAAGTGGTTGTTGTCAATACCATGTTGATCATGGTATTCAAACTTTTGCAATGGTGGTCATGAAGTATTCCCCTACATTTGCCACTGTGGGTGTAAAATTTGCATAACTCTCCAGACTTGGTGATGATGGCATTCACATAACTTTGAGAGGCCGTCACGCAGCTATGACCCAGCTGTGCTCCTTTGGTCACAGTGATTACTTGACTTTGCAGTGTTGCTGGTGGTGGTATTCACATAACTCTGGAATGTTGTGACAGTGTTGGGTATGGTAATCTAATAACAGCAGAGTGGGTCATGGGCTTCATGTATCTTAGTGATTGTGGTAGTGGTAGTCACATAACTGACACTATTATTTACAGTTTTCATATGACTTGTGATATCATCATGTTATTTACATAATTCTGCCATGTTGATCATGGTATTCATATAACTCTGCAAAGGTGGAAATGGTATTTACATAAGTCTGTGACTTTGTGGTGGTCATAGCCCTGTGACATTGGTCCTGACATTCATAAGTCTGTGATGTTGGTCACTGTTATCACATGACTCTGCAGTGTCGGTGGTCAACTAATTCATGTATCTCTGCAACGTTGGTCATGGTACCCACATAACTGATGTTGTTGGTGGTATATAAATAACTGTGCGGTGGTGATGGTAGTTTCACATGACTGTGCAATGGGAGCAAAGCCATGTTTTATGGGCTTAGAGACGTAGGCTTAGAGAAGTTTTGCTTAAAGTTAGGTAATAAGATATTACAGAGCCAGGCACAAATTCAGGTTTTCTGAATAATTCACATGCAACCTTTTCTGTATTACATCATGAAGTCTCTTCCTGCTGAGTCTAAATTTAAAAGCATTGGTACAAAACATCTCTACCTTCAAACTCTCCATGGGCTTTGGGACACAAATACTGTATCTCTACCATTCTAGCTGTTTACCTATGGTCTTGGTTGTGTCCGCATATTCACAACAACACACACACACACACATTTTCATGTGTGAAATTGATGAAAAATTTAATGACAAACAAAGATGTGCGAGTTGAACTTCTAAAAATGTATGTTAAATAATGCAGAAAAGAGCTTTCTGGTAAACCAAAATAAAGCATCTTTGATGATAATCTACAGTTTAGTCATAGAATCCAAAATATATACTTTCAATAATAAAATTTAATGTTGGTAAAATGTTGGTATTTTAGTGTTTTCATTCTTCCTTTAAAAATTATAAACTTCACCTGGCTGGTGTGGCTCAGTGATTAAGCATTAATCCGTGCACCAAGAGGTCACTAGCTAGATTCCCGGTCAGGGCACATGCCCAGGTTGTGCACCAAATCCCCAGTGGAGGGCGTGCAGGAAGCGGCCAATCGATGTTCTCTCTCGTTTCTATCTCTCTCTTCCTCTCCCTTCCTCTCTCTCTAATATCAATAAGGAAAAAAATAAATTATAAACCTCTAGAAGACTCATAATGGACAAGAAATATGATGTTGAGATGTTGGCATCTCGGTGGTGATTATTAGGCAGATATGTGTTTAAACAATCATTGAATTATCTGTTTAATATTTCTGCATTTTATGGCATATAAGTTACACCACAACAAGAGTTTTAAAAAATGCATTTCTAAATAAAATGAAAATGTTATGGGTTTCAGAAAAGTTGAGTGTCGTGCCAGTCTAAACACTCGGATGTTTTCTCATGAACATGAGTTATTGCTGTTATGGAATGGGACAAAGCACCACCATGAGTGCAAAGTGCAGTGTGAATAAGAAATGTGTATGGCTTCCAGAAATGCCCTTGATGTTGTCAGGAAGTGTCACTTCTTCTCAGCTCCCAGGGCTCATGATTTACGTTTTTTCCCCTTGCAGTACTTGGGGTGCATTGAAGTTCTTCGCTCAATGAGGTCTCTTGACTTCAGTACAAGAACCCAAATTACCAGGTAAGCCCTTTTGAAAATGGACCCCTTTTATATTATGTAGGAAAGGAATGATTTCAGAGGGTAGCAGCCCGCAAATTTCCAATAGGAAAAACTGTCCCTTGCGTGTTGGTGGCTGGTGACTGGTGACAAGGACAGGGCCCACTGTGTTTCAAGACTTCTACATGTTTATCTATATTTGTGACATGTGTCTCTTAACCCTAAAGGACCCTCCCCACTTCCAAGTGCTTTTTATAATTAAGCTGCAGACAAATGGAGTGTTTATGTTTGTTTCTTTAATAAATGAAACTCGAATATCAGATTGATATTTTAAAATTTGCTGAACTGTGTTCTTTTTAAAAAAGAAAATCAAGATGTCAGGGAAGAATTTCCAACAGTATACACAGAAAATAAAATGCATAGAAATAGAAATATTAATGGGAATAGTAATTTAAAGAGCAGACTAGTTCTTTTAAGATGTCAGTGTCTTTGGACACTAAATATCCTCCATCATCAACTGGATTCTCAACTTCTTGAGTACCAGTTCTATATTTAAGCACTGTTTTATAAAATTCATAGCTCAATACAGTTTATACATTTAGAAAAATGTCAATTCAAGTCATCTTGAACAGGAGCACTGGAAAGCTAGGAATGGGTCTATCGAAACGCTGTTTCCATGGCAATAAGCTTGCATTGATTTGGCAGCTGTGAAATTATTTAATCTAAATTGTGACCTCAGAAAATGCCTCATATTCACTTCATTTAAATCACTGTTTTATACATCATTGGGTTAGCAAGCCCATGTCTGAAGACTGAGCTTTGGAGCAATTATTTGTAGTGATTCGTGGCTAAACGTGGACACACCTCAAGGTTTTAACCCCCACAAGATACTTCTTCTTCCTCAACAAAGAAATTCAGGTTCAAAAGAGTTGATGTTTGTCTTTTCTGTAAAGCTACTCAGGACACATGTACATGGTGGGAACATACCAACATCCATAATCTACACTGAGAATCCATCTTTACATATTTGTAGAGAATGGTTAATGAAACTTTCCAAGACCAAAGAGTGGTGTTTTGAAGTGAGAGCATTTAAAAGAGAAGTTTGAGTGTTTATTTACTTAGTCATCCTGCCCACGACAAGGCAGATGTGGTGCGGCATCTGTGGGCAGAGGCCTCTGCCACGTGCCTGGGGTAACACTGGAACCTGACACTGCTCACCTTCTCCTGCGTGGTGGCAATTGTTTCTAAAGAGAATTGTAAACTATTTCTACTGTAGTCCCTTTATCCAGAGACCATTCATGTCATTTCATTGAGTATTTACTGCAGCTTGTATCTGTGCAGTGAGCTGGCCAATGTGGGCTGTCCTGCTTATGGTGCCTTCCAGTTTGGGGGAGAAAGATGCATAAGCAAATGGCTGAAGAGCCTGTGAGAGGCACAGCCAAGTCCTACTCCTTGGGAGGTTTGGTGGGCAGGGGTCAGACGAACAATCCTAGTGCTCTCTTGGATGAGGGTCTTAGCACTCTTTGAGTTAGAACCCAAATGGTTAGATATGAAAATAACATTGCCTAAGAAAGTCATGTAATGGACCTCTGGTCCCATTTTGTTTAGATTTTAGCAAGGTGCAGCTATGTACTGGGCTGAGTAGAGCACCATCCTAGACACATGAAAGTTGGTGTTGAATTCTGGTTGTACCAGAATTGCACTGGGTTTATTAGACTTTTTTGAAAAGTATATTTGCTTGTCTCCACAATACTGTCTCTTGCCTTATTTTTATCACATGAACTGTTTCTTATTTTAGTTAATAACTGGAGACCACTCATAGGAAATGATATGACAAATCAATGTCAGAAAGAAGCCTTTGCATCCAGGAGAAGAATACCCAGCAATATTCTCTAGGTGTGGCACATGGTGGAGCTTTTAAGGCCTCTGTGGTATCAGAGTGTTAAACATGCCTGAAATTAAACTCTACCACCGTTGTTTACTTTACATACTAAAGGCATTATTGAAAGGTTGTAGGGAAATATAATGTAATTAAGTCATATCATACAGTCTCTAGGAAAACCTGTTTCCAAAATTTTTTAGCCATAGCTTTCGTTAAAAAAAAATGTATAAACAAACAGCCAATCTCTGCTCACCTGTTCCACTATTTCAAGGTTTGGGTATATCTGTCTTTTGATGGCTCTGACAGCTGAGCTAAATGTTCTTTTGTTGGGGGCAGTTTAGTTTAATGCTGTGTCTGAGTTCAGACTGACTGTCGTGCTTGCAACACTACTCATGAATTGCCAATCTCTTACTAGTAGATGACTTTACAATCTACCCTGGGCCTGGCTGTCTAGTTTAATTTACTTAGTCATCCTGTTGTATGCTTAGTTTCAGCTGCGGCTGTTAAATGCCTTGCACACTAACACTTGAGGCGGAGGAGCTGTTCACACTGATGGGTGCCTGCTGGGTGGAGCAGTATATGGAGTCCCGCTCTACCAACTTCTACCTCAATGGCTGTTGTGAGAAACAGAGCAGTTTCTACATCTTATGGATGCAGGGCCTGGCAAAGAGGCAGCTTGTTAAGGTGCTTGCTCTATCTTATTGCCTGAGTCGTGTTTACACAGTGGGTGCAAGACCCCAGCGTTGAAAGAAGAAGAGCATGTTCATGAGTATGAGAGCAACTGAGAAAACAGCCTGACCCAGAAAATCAGCAGCTGATGGTGGTCTCAGCAGGGGCTGCTTTTCTGGGTCAGCCTGTTGGTGAGGTGCAGAGAGGAGCTGAGAGGTAGGGTATTTGTGAAGGTCAACCCAGGGGACAGAGATGCACTCCAGCAGAAGAAATAGCTGCTGAAGAAGGAAATGGCTTCCCAACATACCCTTGGTTGTGGAACCAAGTATGGCCTTACCCACTAACGTGTCCCCTGTCCAGCACAGTTTTGGAATGTGGCATAGGGTACCCCCCACCCTGTAGATTTGCAATGACATTGCCCTATTGCAGGCTATCAGAAATCTCACTGCTGAGAACCATGAATCTTAGTTATTTCAGTGTTTCTCCAACTTGCTCTTCTGGATGATGGAAACTGTTCTTCTCCCTCCGCACACCAGCGCCATTTCAATGTAAAAACACCCTAGAAACCACCATTCTCCTGCATGGTTTTCACACCCTGCTGTGCAGCCTTGGAGGGGTGGGAGGGAGGGACTCAAGATGGTGTTACTGTTGGTAGATAGGAGCCCCAAAAAGGGAAGACCCAGCTCCCTGGCAGGGGACAGTCAGACACCTCTGCTTTCATCCGAATTAGGCCACTGGGTTTCCACATGATGTTGTGTGGACAACACTGGGAAACCCCTGCTCCAGTGTCTGGCCTGGCCTGGCCTGAGCCTGACCGTCAGATGATCACACCATCATCTCCGTGAGAAGTCCTGTCATGTGACTACTCTTGACTCGGATTGGGGGATGGGTTGAATGGCGTTTCCAGTAAGAGGACTCAGGGGAAACCTGACACCTGGGGAGCAGCCCTTTGGGCTGGCCTGCAAGATAGATAGCCCCCACTGTGCCCTTGGTCCCCGGCCAGCCTCACCTTTTCTCCTTTTCTTTGATTTCCTCATCTGCTCATTTGAGCTTTATTCACTGTGTTAAATTTTACCTACTACTGGAAGTCATCTTAAGATATTTCTAGGACATGGAAGGCTAAGGGTATGCACACAATGAAGCCCAGAGCACTCAGTGAGGTGGTCTTTCTCCAACAGTAAACATTTGACAAGTGTTTTTGGTCCTAAATGACTCCAGCTGACTTCCTGCACTACTCGGGTCAGCCAGAGAGTGGCCACGTCTGCTTCCACTCAGGGCTGTGTAGACACGTGGACTGAGCCACGTGTGGCTTTGATACACTTACAGTGTGAGCTCAGCTAGATGCATGATGTGCTATCCACAGCCCATGTAAACCCACTTTTCCCAAATTGTAGAGAGTGAACAGTTGCATCTAGTTTAGGTACTTTTTTGTTTTTCTTATTTTATTTATTTGTTTTTAATGAAATTTTTTTAAAGTTGTTTTTCTTTATTGATTTTAGAGAGAGAAGAAGGGAGAGAGAGAGATGGAAATATCGATGAGAGAGAACATGGATTGGCTGCCTCCTGCATGCCCCCCACTGGGGATCAGGCCCACAACCTGGGCGTGTGCCCTGACAGGGAATCGAACCCATGACCTCTTGATGCATGGATCGATGCTCAACCACTGAGCCACACCAGCCCTGCTGTTTTTTTAATTTTAAAAGTTGTCATAGTTTCAATGGGCCACGAAGACCCTGGCTGGGCCCAGACCTCCGCCAGCATGGCCCCGTGGGTGTGGTCCATGCCTCAGCAGGACACTTGACCTCCCTGCTGAGAATTCTGTTCAGAATCAGAGTGTTTGGAAGATTCTCCAGGTACATGCATACAATCCCTTTAGTTTGAAAACTAACATCAAGACCAGTAAAAGGAAACCATATTTCTTTTAGGAAGGTAGTTCCCTTTTTTTATGCAGCGTGTTGATGGGGCCTCTGGAGGCTTGTTTCTGGTCCCGTGTGTTGACGTTCAGAGCACTGGCCGCACCTCTCCCATGACCCCAGCCCAGGCAGGGCGGAGGCCGCACAGGTTGGGCCAGCGGCGGTGAGTGGGACAGGGCCGCCACGCTGGAATGTCTGTCTGATGTTGCACGTATGGGTCTTTAGTTAGAAGGTAGATGTGTGACCACATGGTGTTGGTCTGACCCTGCTGGGCAGTGGGTAGCTACAGGACCTTGAGTTTGAATGAAATAGAAGGCATGCCCTTGGTGACATGAAGGACAAGGAGCAGAGGCTGAAGACCTGGCACTGTGAATCGTGGGTGCTCCTGACACTGTGAGCAGGTGCCTGGCTGGCGGGCGTCGCCTCCAGCTGGCCTGTGCACAGAGGGAACCCTCTTCGGTCCCAAGGAGGACCAGCCAGCGGACCTCAGCGCAGCCTCCTCATGCTGCCCACCCTCTCGTCTCCGAGCGACCTGGAACGCTTGCTAATGCTTCTCCAGT